CCAGCAGCTCCGCTCGGACGCCGCGGATGTCCTCGGCCCAGAAGCCAGTCCTTGAACTCTGGCACGGGATTGTCCCGCTTGAGCCGGCGCAAGCGCTGTCGCTGTTCGGAATCGTCGCAGCCGGCCACGGCCCTCGCAGATTTGTAGAAGAAGGCATGGCCGTGCCAANNGACCATTCTGTTCGCATGGGTGTGTGTGCGTGTGTGTGTGCTTGCCTCTGAGGGCACAGTGCAGACGTGTCTCAAAAAAGTGAAAGTCACTGCATCCTGACAGGGTTCCTTCAGATCTGAAAGGGCGAGCAACTAGAGCTTTCCAAGACCTCGGGAACTTGGAGGCGTATGCGGACGTGTACGGCACCTTTGCACGGATTCGTCATGCAACAGAGCTGGAAGCACGCCTTAAGGAGCAAGGAGCGTCTGCTGAGAATTTCGAGGTGCAGGTGTTAGTTTTTGGTGGTTTTGTCCGTATTGTGATGCCCGAAGCCCCTCCAAATCTCCCCTTTTGTCGGGCTTGACGAGGCCTCAGGCCAGTGCCCCGGAAGACTGGCCGGTGAGCCCTTGAACTTTAACGGTGGCACCATCCGACAACCAAATCGGAAAAGAAGAGGCACGTCCCCTGTGTGTTCGGGCCTGTCAGCCGTTGTCACGCGGAATCCGTGCGGGTTTAGGATGCGTCAACACCAACGTATAGGTTGAGGGGTGCTTTCTGTGATGCACACGTCGGCTCCTTGCTGCCACTTTGCTATTGTAGCGGTATTCTGCTGACTTTTCGCGGTCAGATCTTGCCTTTGAAAGGTTCCCTGCCCAGGTTTCGCTTCCTGAATCCTTCACGGGGGATCAGGGTACCTTAACCCTTTCACGTCCCCTGCTGCCTTGCAACTGCCTTGCTTCATTAACCCGTGAGTTTCCCTTCCCGCCTTGTGCCTCGTTGCAGGTTCTTGTTTGTGCGGCGGCTTTCTCGCTCACTTGCAGCAGCATAGCAGCCAGGCAGCAGCAACATAGCAGCTAGGCAACAGCACTAGGCTGCAGGCAGGCGGGCAAGGCAAGCAGGCCGCACCGCGCTGCGGTTGAGGGCTCAGGGTAGCCGTCGCTTCGAGCCCCGAGCAACTGGAAGCCCCTGGCATGGTAGGCATCGACAGGGCAAGGCCTTTCCAGCGAGCAGTGCCTCTGCTGCTGTTCGCGGTCTGCATCGCAGGCCTCTCACATCTGCAGGCGTTCAGCATCCCAGAGCTCGTTCGGCAATCTGCACAGAAAGCACAGAAGACACCGAGCGAGTTCTTGGAGAGCATCGAAGAGCGTGCCCTGGAGTGGCGGCGCGGTTCGGAAGTCGCAGGCCGGAAGGATTTCACGACTTTCCTGGAGAAGGCCATCTAGTCCGATCTGAAACTACACCCCGCCCCCCATGTTCCATGTTCCTTGATTGCAGCCGTTCCCATGTTCCCCAATGCAGCGCCACCTCTGTCTTCATAGCTCATGCAGTGGCCCGTAGCTCCCTAAGACTCTTGTCGTCGCAGGTGATGAACAAGCCAGGGCTCCACATGGTGATTGGAGGCAAGAGCCTCGGGAAAAGCAAAGTCCTCCAGTGTATCTCCACTGCGAAGTTTCAACCACAAGATCCATTGCTCTTGGTGGACATGCGGAGGCCTCCTCTGACGGGGTCCACGGATGTCTTGGAGTGCCTGCAAGAGGTGGCCAAGAAGAGGTGGACCGAGGACACCATGCCTGCCTGGCTTGAACCTGTTATCGAAGGAACGAAGCAGTTTTTTCCGTCGCTGAGCAAGGCAGAAATGAGGGAAAGCGACCAGGGCTTGAAGGTGGCTGCAGTAGCTGCCGCAGCAGTCGCGGCCACAGCGGGTGTCAAGAAACCCACCCGGTTCGTCGAGGAGTTCGTTGCAGCTGCCAGTGCTGATCGCCTGACTCCCGTCATCATCATTGACGAAGCCAGCATAGCCTTTCCTGGTGGCAACGGGAATGGTAAGAAGGCTGCAGCGGAAGCTGCCCTCGCCCTCTTCGT